GTCTTCTGCGCGCCCTAAAGGCTATATTGCCAACCGCCAGCCAGACCTACCACGAGATAGCGAGGCTGCGCATGCTCGGATTTACCTACTACTTTGACCCCAATCCAATCTACGGCGAAGCCAAGTTTCGCCATCAATTTCGAATGGCCAGACCGCTGTTTGAACGAATCATGGACGGTGTGGTGATGCGTGATGTTTACTACCCTTGGACGCATCTTGAGAGATGTTGATCCATGACCGGACAAGCTGGCAGTCTTCGTCGGTCGTGAAGTTGGAGCCACGGACGGCCTTGGCTGATTCCATTTTATGAACCAACTGATTATTGACTCCATAACGCACATGATTGGACAAAATTATCCATTGATAGCATGTTATTGGCTAATTCGACAAAACTGTATTTTACAGTCGCGACTGTAAATCTGGCCGATTTGGCGTCTCGCGGTAAAATTTTACAGTTTCCTGTATTTTACAGTCGCCCGGTGGAGTTGTCAAAACTGTAAATAATCCGGATAGAACTGTATAATAGCGTTTACAGTCGCACCGGTGGGGATGCTCTTAATCAAAGCCAACGTGCCGACAACAAAACTAGAACTATGGATCGTGCCGCAGGTTGAATGACGTTGTCCAGAGGGTCCTCCGTTGTGATGAGTTGGGGCGTCTGCATCACTGGAGAGCTTATCCGAATCCAAGCGTTGGCATCCATCCTGTGTGCAATCGAAATATGATTGACAGAATCATGCAAGTTTAGCTGGAGGTTTCATGTAGCTATATATATTTAGATCCAATTACATAATTCCATAACCAATGTAATCACTTTACACTTAACACTGTTCTGTCACCTGTTTGGAGCAAGGACGCTCGCCCAAGCTACATCTACTGCGTGCGATCGTGATCCTCTGCCAACTCGAGTCAACACAAGAGTTATCTATCAGGTTATGAGCCCAACGGCTTACGAACGTCACGCTTCTAAAGCAAAAGACCCACAGGATGGCTACCCGCAAGCTTGCCGAGCTACCCAGCAAGATGAAGCGGCAGCCAACCATCCTAACCTTCCAGGAAAATCCTTCTTGGCAAGGCAGTTTCGAAACCTACAAACGACCCTTGATCTGAAAGCCAAAAAGATGGTCACCACACTTACCGTATTGCTTGCCCCAGCGCGCATACAAAACGACGAACGAATCGTCATCAACAAAGAGCTACGAAGGCTCGTTGAAGAGAAAGTACAAGAATGACGTACCCAAGCCAAAGCATCCACCGCTCTAGGTCGAACGATCGAGCTGGAACTGAAGGAGCACGAAGACATGCCCGACCAGGACTACCGCAACGTCACGTCACCAGGCGGCAATCTGCCAGGCAAGCGCAGGCCAACCAGCATTCACGAGATCGAGGTGTCGAATCCTACAAAGAAGGATGAAATGAACACTGCAGTCAATGCTATAAGTATCCTCACCGAAGGCATCTGTCAACCTGAACCCGCGCTACTACGACTCCAAGTCGAGCAGTCGAATGCCCTCATGGCACTTGTGCGTGCCACCTCATCTACACAAGCAACGACACAAGTACAAGTTCAGGCACTAACTGTGTCTGTGGAAGAACAGAAGGGAAAACCGGACACTGACCTACTTCGTGAGCTGCGTAACATTCAGGAACGTGAAACGAAAGAGAGGGCCGACTGGGAACGAACCATAGATTCCCGCCTGGCATCCATGACACAGAACCAGGCGGCTTGGCAGCGCGAGGTGGAGCTGGACCGAGCGGCCACCAACGCCAAACACGACGATCGAGCTGTCCACGCCGACAAGGAACGATTGATTGAGCTTCAGAGCATACGAGAACTGATCAGTCATCTACGGAGTTCCAACATTCCATCAATCTCTACGGCAACCAAAACATATACCACTCCACCAACCGTCACAAGGAAGTTGTTCACGAACCTGCCCCGAGTCGACAACAGTGGCGACAGCGGGGACGACGAAGACGACAACGACGACGGACGCAGTGGCGAGAGTAGTCAAAGAGGCGATGACCGCGACAACCGCGGCAGGGAACGCAACGGCAAGCCCCACAAGGACGCAAGCGGCGCAGGTGGCGACCCCGACGAGCCAAGCGATGACGAAAGCAGCGAGGCAGATGACATCGATGCACCGCCGGATTCCCGAAGACATCGGGGAGCCAACCCACGCCCACGAAACCCTAAATTGAAGGACTTCAAGATTCAACCACTCTTCGATGGGAAAGAAAAGTACCCGGGATTAGGCAGCGACTTCCCGAATTGGCTGTCAATCTTCGAGGACGCTATTGCAACCAATGTAACATTCTACAACACAACTTGGTCCGATCAACACAAGTTCTATGCGCTCATGCAGAGTCTCACCGGCAACGCTAAGGCGTTCGCTCAAGATAGCAAGGCCAAGGAACCTACGCAGTCGTACACTATTATGTCCGCACGTCTGGAGTCAAACTACTCAACACACCTGACCCAAACGCAACTGATGACCCTCATGCAGAAGACCAAGCGCTGGGAGTCGACGTAGACCGACCATCTCACCTACCTGCATCACGTTCAGTCAATGGCCCGCGTAGGAAGCGAGTTTGTACTCGAATGCCTCATCAACAATGCATGTCCATCAAAGAAGAATGACCTTACCATCCAACTCAACCCCCGCGTCAGGAATGACGTAGCCGAATAGCACCGTATGGTCGGCATCTTGACTCAGCTCACAGGCACTGGTATCGACTTCGGCCGCCGTCATAAAACAGGAGGAAAGAAGACCGGACAAGCGAACCAGGCATACGGCGGCGGTGGCAACAAGCCAGGGAGTAAACAACGCTCGGGCAAAGGCGGCGACTCTACGAAAGAGAAGAATAAGAACAAGCAAGACAATAAGCCCATAAAACCGTGCTACCTTTGTAACGAATGGACACACTGGGCCAAAGAGTGTCCACTAGTTACTCTTGGCCGCGAAGCGAAGGCCAAGGCAGGAAAAACTGGCAGAGCCAACACAGCCAAGGGAAACCAAGTGACAACCTCCGAGACGCGCAAGACTCTTATCGAACCGACTGCCACTGCGAACTTCATCTTCGCCGAATCGTTGTCTTTTCCAGAGGATGATGACTTCGACTCGGATATCGTCTCGTACCTTGTTCGCGACGCACCGGACGCCGGAGCAATGGTCATTCGCCAAGCTACAACTGTTGACGACTGGGTCTGTGACTCTGGATGCACGCATCACCTAACGAACAATCCATCGTTATTGATGGACACCCACGGCTCCAACTTACGCATCCGCATTGCCAACGATGATCACGTCATGGCCACACTCAAGGGGCCGGCAATTTTGGATCTAGTAAACGGCGGCAAGATCCGCCTCAACGAGGTCCACTACGTCCCATCGATCTCGGCCAACCTACTGTCCATTACATCACTCAACTTCAATGGTATCGATGTACTGTTCGGACGTGACATCGAATTCATCGATCGATCCAGTCGTCGCGTCCTGACCACTGGCACACGCAAAGGACGATTGCCAATCCTCGAGTGCGTTCACTCGACGGCACTACCTACGGAAGACAATTAAGCCATGTCATTCCATGTCCACTTACCCAAGAGATCTCTTGCCGAGTGGCACGCCGCACTTGGTCATATCTCTAAGGCAGCCATTCTCGAACTCGCTAACATACACGACGACACTGACGACATGCATATTACGCGCGCCACTAACGACGCTACGATAAGCTGTATCGATTGTGCGCGAGGAAAACAAACGCGCAACGCGCAACCGAAGACAAACACCGGGGACTCTGCACCCACGGACGAAGTCGGGGCAGTCGTCTGTGCTGACTTGCTTGGGCCACTCAAGCCCTCCGATCGCAACCACAACCGCTACGTAGCCGTCTACGTCGACCACGCATCTAAGTTGAAATACGAAGTCCCTATCAAGAAGAAATCCGACCAAGTCCAGAAGCTCAAGGAATTCATCCTATTCATCGAGCGACAATACGGGAAACAAACCAAGGTCGTACGTACCGACGGCGGAGGCGAGTTCAACTCGACCGAGTTGGACGCCTTCTTGAAGTCAAAAGGGATCCGCAAGCAGGTCACAGAGCCAGATACGTCGGCGTCTAATGGACTGGCGGAGAATACAATCCGAGTCCTGGCGAATGACGTTTGGACAATGCTTATGAGTTGCGATGTTCCGCTCACATTCTGGGTATATGCAGTCAATTACGCTGTATACATACGCAACCGCGTTCCTTGCAAAGGGAACGACAATAACACGCCACCACTTCAAGTGGCGGACCCAAGTCGTGGACTGCCCAAGGTGAGCCACATCGTGCAGTTCGGAAGTCATTGCACCACCTACCAAGCCCCCAAATCAAAGAAGATCGAGAAGAGAGCAGAATTGGGTATTATACTAGGGGTAAGCGAAGAAACGAAGGGTTAACACGTATGGCTCCCACAGCAAGGAAAAGTCATTGTGACCCGCGACGTCCGAAACATCGCACCACCAACGCCACGACACGACATGGTGGAGTTCCTGGGGGCAGGCGAGGAAGCATTAACGTCCAGTACTGAGAAGGAGGACACGGCATTGCCAAGAACCAAAAGTGCCAAGAAGACGGCCCCTCCAGCCGACTTAACGATCCGAACCCGCAAGCAAGTGCTACCGAGGTGTCGAAGACGAAAGAAAAGCAGTCCGAAGTCCTAATTGCAAAGCTATTAGCCGAAGAGACATTTCACTCGGTGTTTCTTACCGTGGAAGAACCAACCACGGTGCGTCAAGCTATGGCCAGCAAGGAAGCCATCGAATGGCGAAAGGCAATGATGCGGGGACTCGACGGCATCGTCGGCAACGGCACATGGGAAGTCGTCGAGCGACCTAAGCACACCAACATAGTGTCACACAAATGGATGTTCAAAGTCAAATACGACCAAGGTGGAAACGTCGACAAGTTCAAAGCTCGCTTGGTCGCTCGTGGTTTCTCTCAGCGTTATGGAGTGGACTACTCAAATACCTACGCACCCGTAATCAAACAAGCCAGCGTGCGACTTATCTACGTCCTCGCCGCTATATTCAAGTGTGAGATCACGCACTTGGATTTCCCGCAAGCCTACCTGAACGCGAAGACAGATTTCGACATATACATCGAACTCCCCGAAGGTTTTGACGTCGATACAAAGAAATACGTCGGACTTTTGCGGAAAGGCCTCTATGGACTCAAACAGTCAGGCATGTTGTGGCACGAAGAAGCAGACAAGGCACTCATAGCACTCGACTTCAAGCGAAGTCAATTGGACCCGTGTCTGTACTACCATTGGGACGGCGGCAAAATTACAGTTTGTGGCCTCTACGTAGACGATCTGCTCGTGTTTTCGAAGTCAGACACCACAATCAAGAGAATGGTCGACGAACTCACCGCAATCTACAAGGTTAAGAACCTCGGTCCCGTCGCGCGTTGTCTTGGGATGAATGTCCACCGCATTGAAGGCGGGTTCTTCCTTGAACAAACCAGCCTCGTCGAAGAGCTTCTGGCCAAGCACGGTCTGTCGGACGCCAAACCGCAAGCCACGCCGTTAGCTCTGGATCACAGATACTTCGATGACGGTCCTGACCCAACGATGACAGCGACCGAAATGCGCGAAGTGATCGGGTCGCTGTTGTGGTTGGCCGGCTCCACCCGCCCGGACATCATGTTCGCCGTAAATCTGACAGCGCGCTTCCTCAACAAAGCAAATGAGAACCATGTACAAGGCATCAAGCGAATACTACGTTACCTGCGTGGTACTGCCACTGTTGGCCTGCAAATTGTGCCGTCGGATATCGGCGGCGCCGTCAATGCTGAGGTTTTCTGCGACGCAGACTGGGCCGGTGACAAGATCAATCGCCGATCCACGAGCGGTTGCGTCCTTGTAGTCAACGGATGCCTTGTCTTCTGGGCCGCCAAGCAACAAGCCGTTGTGGCGCTCTCCACTATGGAAGCCGAATACATTGCGGCCTCGGCAGGAATCTAGGAATGCTCCTGTAAATCCCTTTGTTACTGTGACGTGTGATGGACTTGATCCTTGTTGGGCCCTATGGACTTCTAAAAATGCTTACAGTTACTTCCAAACAACGTGAGTCTCATGTTACTTGGTGGGTCTTCCGGCCATGACAACGGAACTCGTTCGAGACCGTGCAAAGTGTGATGAAGGTTGCCACTTTGCCATTGTTGTAGTGCTAATGGGTTTCGAATCTATTGTGTTGTTGGGACACTGTTGGCGCAACTACATGAGTGAATCATGACAACACCAACATCATTGCAGTAGTGAATCACGTGGGGAATAGATTGGTGATCTGGACTGTGTGTCAACAGTGGGTGTGTGGGTTTGACGATTCTTGTAGCCTTTATATTTCACAGATGCATGGTTGGCCTTCCAACACCGACACAGGATGTTAGTCAACAACACGTCCCGCCCATGTTTCTCCGAAAGCAGCAGAGGATTCACCGAGACGCATCGCCATTAGTTTTATAGGAAATGGTTTACCTTATAAATGAATGTGCCGTATATTTCATGCGTCTGGAAATAGATTCGCAGAGGCTTACCTTAGTCCAGCATCTGACTGAGAGTTATAATGCTACTTTCCGTTTTTCAGCCTTTGAGTCCATTAGTCAGCCCCAGTTTCGCACTTTTCAGACAATATGTCTGTTTTTCTCAGCTAGCCATTCTAGGTGTATACAGTATGTGAGCCCTTACGCTTTCACTGTACCCTTCCTACTTAGGAGTATCCAATAGAATCGTTGTCGGAATGGGATGTCGGAATGAGTATCTTGTCGGAATATCCATGCTATCGTTTTCCAAGGGTTGGCTATACAAGTTCCAACGAAAATACGGACTCATCAGCAAGGTTCAGCACATCAAAGCTGCCTAGACACCACAGCGCTGCTGTTTGCACGGTCACCAGCAAAAGCTACAAGTTTCGAGTGGTTACAACACCAACGACGCCTACAACATGGACGAAACCTCGTTTCTTTAGGGGGAATACAAGATAGGACGCTCGTTGTCATTGGGGCGTACACTAACCACCTATAAGATCAATCGCGTTCATTGGCGAAATCAGCAAACGTCGGAATTGTATAAGATGGCAACACATGCTACAACTGTTGGAATCCAATTTTGTACGGAAAAGGACAACTAGGGAGATTTCGGAGATGAGTATTTATCTTTATCCTTAAAATAACCTCTGAAGCTTTATAGGGTTGAGGAAAACTCCGGAACTTAGTACCAGAATCCCTGAAATGGGTCCATTTTGGGGATTCGAATCCTCGACCGTGATTGGCCAGATCTGTTGACTTGGTGCAAAGCTTTTTTGTTGTTGGCACTTCGAATGGAGCGTGGGAGGTGGAAGCGTGGTGGATGGCCCACATGAAGTGGAGGTCGATCAGAGGCGCGGTGGTAGCGAACAAGTTAATGATAACCTCCATCTCTATGCATAGTGACGTAGAATCCCGTACAACATCACATATATACACTTTAGGAACTACTAAAAGCAAATTAGGCGGCGCCTAACACCCCAGCTTAGTCGGCCGTGCCAAGCAGTACATCCGGCCGGAGTGTTGTACCTGTGGCTGATCAACAATATCTTAATAGCACTAGAAAAGTACAAGTACAGAAGCACCCCTCTGCAGCTGGCGCTTTGGCGCCAGTTGCCGAGGCGTGCTACTTTAGATACAAGCCACTCCTTGCCTTCGTAGCTACGCCTTTCCAAACGTCCTACAGATAGAACAACTGAGCTAACACAACATGAGTTTCAATCAATGCATTGCTTCGCATGCCTCTGTCGTCCCTACTAGCCTCAACGGTGAATGACCCATAGGACGACTTCACAATGACCTCGCCAATCATCCACGAAGTCCTCAAATTTGGCTCCATCTAGTCTACGGATAGGGAAAAATTGTTATCATCGAAATCGTCGATATAAAATCCCTTGTTTTTACTTTGCTTTCAATTTTTACGGAAAATGAAAAAGAGACGTCATCTATGACGAGTTCCAATGTAACGGTAAATATCGATTCGAATGGCTATCATGAGTTCCAATGTAACGGTGAAAGTCGGTTCTACGGCGGTTACAGTTTCAGAATCGGTTACACTCTGCGCTTTCTCGCCAACATGCCACTGACCGCCGCGCCGCACAAGCAAGTGTACCAGTTCCTTGTGGTTAACGTGGGGCTGCCCGTGATGATCTACTACGTCGGCCGAGAGTTCACACTGGTGTTGGCGTTGTCGGCGATCCCACCATCCATTGCAGCCCTGGTTGAAATGCTGGCGAGCCAGACGGTGGATCCGCTCTTAGTGTTTGTATACGTTATCCCATCGATATTACCACCATTTCCATGTATAAGTGTTAGGATCAGTTTCCTACTCCAGATTGTAGTTTATCAATACAATACAGTATCAGTGCTAAAACCATCACATTGTACCAAATCGTGTCCATTTCACTCGCTATTGCGTTCATACGTGTGTCCAACGAATCACGACTGCTCTTTCTCAAGGCCTCGCTCACAATACAAAAATATACCTGGTGAGAAAATGGCAGAAGCCCGAGCTAAAATGCGTGCAGAACGAATGAATCGACCGAAAACTAGTCCCGGCAGTGAGGAAGTAGAAAAGGAGTACCAAGAACAACAGCGGAAGCAGCCTGAACGTCGGCGGATCAATAAGGCTAGCCGCCCCCCTAAGAAAAAGCGTATCGACCACGACAAGGAAGCATGTTCGGCAACCGAATGCAGGATTCTATACACGACGCTACATACCAGCTCGGGTAAGGTACGTCTTACGAGCGGGCCACCGACACCATACAGCGGATGTTGGGGGCCCAGTATTAGTTCCACTGACCCATTCTTAGTGGTGACGAATGTCCAGCCCCATCGCATTACCTGCATGGACATAGCTTTCCTGGTGTGCTGGGTGAAGAAGCAGGAAACCTATGAGGACAAGCTACGGGCGAATGGCAACAACGAGTGTCGAGTGGCAACGGAGTGCTGTGGAGTGCCCATCAACTCACCACAGCCTTCAGAAGGCTACATGCACTTATGTGTGGTGAGGGCCTGTGGAACAACTCAGTGAAGATGATTACCGCGACCGCATCATGGAAATAGTTGTACAACCAGCGACGAAGTGGACAGCCACCAAGTCAGAAATGCAGATATATTGCCGGGCGCTGGGCCTTTGCCGACATCCTGCGCGAACAGCTCGATCGAACCCATGCGCTGCCAGCAGAGAAGCAGCTATGGTTCAAAGCGTGGCCGTGAAGAGGACGACCAAGAAAGCCGCATTACAAAACATGCTAAGAAAGCAAGTCAAGCTGTTCGGGACCAGCGGGATTTCGAGGGAATTACCCTCGTCCACCGGGTGGATACATAACCCGGAACTAAGGGTGGCGGTGTGCCCCCGTCGACCCAAAAGCGAACAAGCCACGAAATATGAACCGCCAGCAAACTCGTGACCAAGAGCAGATGACCGCACTACCCAAGTTTCACGCGATGAAGCGAGCCCTCGAATTTTGGCAAGTGCATCGCTGTATGTTGTAAAGAAATAGTGATGTAGATCTACTCGAGTTGTTGGGTCCCTCCATGTTGACATGTGTGGACCGATGAAGCAGGCTGGTACTTATGTCGAACATTCGATATTTGTACAGCATTGTTGATGATCACTCAACGTATAAGTGGTTCTCTGTGTTTCAACACAAATCCGAAGTGCCATCCAAGCTAGGCCGTTCTCCTGAAATGAGTCACGTTCGTATTTGGGCTCAATTTGCTATGCCGCAACTTCACAAACAAGAGTAGAGTCAATTATCATTTCCTTGGTGTAGCTGAGGATTACAAGGGTTATCGCCTTCTAGACGTCTCTGAAAATCGATTCCTCATTGCACGTGATGTTAGTTACGACATTGGGTGAGGACAGCTGTCATGCACATCGAATGCTTCTCGCCACACGAGATCTTCAAGCTACCACCACAAGCTGCCCAAATGTAGTTGGGGGCATATCATAATAGAAACTTGTTAAGTCGACGTTAGCCTCCTATCTGACACATGCGACTTGAATTTGTCGACTTGGACCACATAGCACTCTTTGATATCGTCATGGAGCACCAGGTCTTTGGCGCGAAAATCCGTGGCGTTGACAGAAGCGTCGGACCAGCTGAAGGATGGAGTCGTACCCCACGAAAGGTACCTTCGATTCCAAGTAGTTGAGGAGACACGGTCGTTGGTTAAATTTGATCCAAGTGATCATGTTCATAGGACACGCTCGACATCACGCAGGTCATTGATGAATTCGACGTGACCGGGTGAGCCTGGAAACTCATCATGGTGGCCTCCTGGCGAAGCTTTCATCCTCATCTTCCTGCCTTTGTAACATAGCAACGCCAACCGCTGGGCCTTCCAGTTGCGCACAGTCCTGCGAGGGATCCCAAGGGCAGCCCCAACTTTTGTGTCATGGTCTCCAGCATACCCAATGCTTCGAGCTTGAACGGGATGGAATGCATGATGCGTGTCTTAGCTTTTATTGCAAGCTGCCCAACTTTGGCAGCCAATTAAAAAAAACAAGTTTGGCGGGAGAATAATTTTCTATCCAATCACGTGTTTTGATTCATGAGAAATCATTCTATTGGGCAAAACAAATGTTGAAGGGTTGTAAACTTCGGCCTTGGATTCCGTAGTTCCCTGTATTTGGTGAAATGACTCACAAGTTCAAATTTGGGTGAAATGAACAATATATATGTTTAACGTTAGTAGATTCATACAGTCCTGTTCTACACATTGCCATAGTCGCCATCCGAGGGTAGTAATGGCGACATGTTCCGTTGTTCCATCCTCTCCGTTACTTTTCGAGGCGCATTTTCCGGCTCGGCACTTGGACGACCACAGTGTCACACATCGTGAGCTGGTACCCCCGGTAAAACCGGTCCATGGTGTTGGTGCGGACAAGGGGTAGCACCACGACACCAACGATCGCCACGACCAGCAGTACCCACAGCTGGCTGGCCACGCTTTCGTTGGAGACGACGTCCGTAGCCGCCACGAGCCCCCACCCCGTCGCCCCCATAGACCAGCTCGTGAGCAGGAGCCCGTACATTGTGCCCGTGTTGAACACGCCAAACATGTCGGTAACCAGCGCTGGCATGATTGCAAAGCCGCCGCCCAGCGCAAACCCGAGCACGTACGCCGGCCACCGGAACCTGCTGCCACTGTCGTTGCCATGGGTGGCCACGACCAGCAGCCCCGTGGCCACAGCTTGGATGGTCAGCAGCAGCCCAAACATCAGCTTGCGACCGAACGCTGGGT